TTTGAGAATTTTAAAAAGAATTTGCAGAAGAGCTGAATAATCTCCAGCAGCCTAGACTCTGCCTATTGATACTCAGGGATGTGCTGACTGCTACTCTCATACGGCTCAGATGAAATAATTGAGTATTTTGTGATTGGAGACACCTGGTACTTTCTGAATGTACTGCATTTATGAATATCATCATGTTATTATTGAGTCATGTTTTGCACCAAGGGAGACCTGTGTTTTAAAATTTTAATTCTAAGTGGTGTTGAAGCCCAGTTCAATTTTGGGGAGCATGAAGCCTAAACTTTGTCTCTGTCTGTGTCTGTCTCTCCCTCGGCATTTAGCTCAGAGGCAGTCTCAACTGCTCTTTGTCACCAACCTCCACCAAATCAATCACCTAGTTCCGCTAAGTGTCACTCTTTAAAATATCTGAATTCTCTCTACTGGATGAACCAGTAGGTCATACGGAGTTGACTACCAGTGAGTTCATGGCGTTCTCTAAACCATAGCAGAGACCACCTGCCCCTCTGCTCCAGGTCTCCGTGACAGTCCTTCAAGGGGCCTCCCTGCCACCACCCTGCCCCCTTCTCTGCCCAGCTATGCCTTCCACCTGGCCGCCAGAGTCATCTGTTTGACAGGCACTGTGCCAAGCTGAGGACCACATCCTCTATATCCGTTCTCCTCCATCTCTTTCCTCACTAACGTAATGACTGTGTTTGGGGCAGGGATGTACTGAGCTAAACACACTTTCCCGGCTCCCTTGCACATGGGGTGGCCATGTGACACAGGTCTAGGCTTCTGGGAAAGCTCTTAGTTGCCTGGTAACAGAGGACAGATGCTGCTGACTAGCTCTCATGGTCCTCAGCTATGGCAACCATGGTGTGGGGACAGACCTAGCCTGCAATGGCGCCCACTGAACTGGCCCTTCTTCCCCAACAGGTGCCAAGTCACCAACCACGGATCCCCTCAGTGGAGCCACCTGCCCCACCTCCTTACCCTTTATAAGCCTCTACAGCATGGGATGCATTGTACAAACACTTGGGTCCTCTGGGTTGTCCTAACCTCAGAATATGTGCCCTGAATGCACACAGAAGTTGTGGTCTGTTTTTTGCCATCCTACCTCTTCCCCAAACACCATGAAGCTCCATTCCAGGCAACCCAGCACCACCCACCTGCTGCCACTCCTCCTGGGTAGGCCCCAGCGGCTCTCCAGCATCCGGGTCCCCCTCGGGGGCTGAAGATGAGGGCTCCTCCTGCTCCTGGACCCCAGGGAAGCCCGCTCGCTGCCGGCACAGCTCCAGTTCTAAGTCCACAGAGCGCCTCACCTGCCGGGACAGCTCCTGAGGGGCCAGGGGGACAGCGCAGGGGACGCTGCAGGACCGGCTGGCCCTGTGGGTCCTGCTGTCCAGGCTGGGGTGGAGCGGTGAGGAGGGGAGTGAGCGGCTCTGGGGCAGGAACCAGGGTGTGGGTCTCTGTGCAGGACTAGGTGCGGCGCTGGGTATGCTGGGCACCTCTGCCTGCCTCTTGAGTTCCCGTGGCATCGGGCGCCTCATGGTGGAGACGATCTAAACGTGTCCAAAGCAGAGAGAGAGGCTGGGGGACCACAGCAGGCACTTTCTAGACACCAAGGTGGCCTCCAGGACAGTCTCAGTCCTGGTGACCACCGAGCACTGTCTGTGCATGGTAGGCTCCAGCCTGGTCAGACAAGTGCAGACCTGCAGAGAAACCTGAGGGCCACAGCATCTTGACGTCACTGTCACACGCTCACGCCCTGTGGGGAGACTTCACCCTCATTCATTAATGTGTCATATTTACTGTATTTTACAAAAGTATCAATATTTCCAAACTGGAAACTTAAAACCAGTCCTTCGGCACAGGTACTGCTGTTGGAGCTACACCAAGCTAGGTCATCATTCCTTCCTGGGAGCCGAATGGCTTCAGACAAGGAAGGAGGACAACGCTCTCAGAAAGGCCGGCCCTGTTGACTGTTCTTGTCATCCCACAGATGCTAGAGCAGGGGCGGTAGGGGGCGCTGTGGTGCCATCTGTGGCTTATTTCCCAGTAACCCCGGTTCCCTGGGTTCAAATGTGGGCCAAAGCTATTGAGCAGGGAATTCTGGAAATAAACAACTCATAGGTTTCAAGTTATGTGCGTTGAGGAGCATGGTGAGATCTTGCACCCCTACCTGGCCACCCTGGCCACACAAGTCATCAGTGTGTCTGGTGTAGCCAAGCTGTACACACTGCCTGAATGCTGCTGATCTGAGCCATGGGATGGGTGATCACGGTATCCCAGTGCTCAGTTCAAGTGACCCTGATTCTGCTTAACAAGGCCCACAAAGCCCAGGAGCTGTGATGCAAGCCAGGCCCTGAGCATGGCACACAGAGGCCACTTAACCTGGTGGTCCTGCTGCAGGGCATGCAGAGAAGCACCCGAGAGGCAGGCTGGGTTCTGTGGTCTCAAGCATCCACAGAGCCTCAGGACAGGTCCCAGCAGCAGGGGGCCGCTACATGTGGTTGGAAAAGGGCAGCAGAGGCAGCTCTGTGGGAAAGGAGCCCTGTGCACAGCCTTGTGTGGGAGAGGAGAGGGCGTTCCTACGGCCCAGGCTCAAGCAGGAAGGAACTGAGCAGCGTCCTCGCGGACTCCAGCCACCACGGCGCTGGGACCCCGTGGAGAGCAGAGAGGACACAGGCAGAAGGAGAGGCAGGGTCAGGCCGCATAGCCATGTGTGGTGCTAAGTGGGAAGAGAGAGCGGCCCCCCCTTGTGCGCCTGAGCACCGTGCTGGACAGCAGGGGAGTCGACCTCCGTAGGACATCGGTGACAGAGGTCTAGTCCAGTGATGGCAACTCTATGAGAGCTCTCAGTGACACAAACACTTCACTGCAGCCTGCGTGCCATAGGTCTGCCACCGCTGGTCCAGTCCACAGAGAGGACTGTGAGCATGCTCAAAGAATGAGCATTCACTGCAGCTCAGTCTAAGGACGGTGGCATCAGAAAGCCCCATCCCACGGTGGACAGGCCCAGGCTGGGAACACAGAGCACGCCCAGAGAGGGCGAGTAGAAGGAACCCATTGAGGGGGACAGCAGGGACCCCTGTGAGAGCCCAGCAAGGCGCTTTGCAGCAACCCAGCCTTGGATGTGGGAGGGGAAAGCCAGGCCACGCTCATGGACTCACCACCTCCCCTCCAGCAGCCAACCCTTCTGGCCTCATGGAACAGTGGATGTTATGATCTGCTCCGAGTAACATCTGTAGCTCACATTCTTCTCGAGAATCTCCAAGGGTTGAGGGCGTGGACATAGATGGGGGCTTGGTGTTGAGGATTTGGGGGGAGCTGTTGAGTGTTGCAGCCCTCCCCGCTTCCACGTCTGCCAAAGAGCTATCCTCCTCCTGTCTGAACACTGTTTGGCTGTACACAGACATGACTTGTCTTTCAGCTACCGAATGACACGGAGCCATGCCCAGACTTGGTAACTAGGACCTACACCCAGAAACCGTGGGCTTTCAAATTGGAAGCAATTACAGGATAAGCCTGGAGTGTACCACAGGGGAGCGTCACTGGTGGAACACAGACTGTTTGGAGGTGTAGTGGTTCAGGTGCTCTACCTCAGGGGAGCAAAGCCACAGCACCAGGTACCATCCCCCCACGAACAGGTGACACTGCTATCCATTATCCTCTGTGGGCTGTCAGTGCTTCTCCTCCTCTTCTCAGGCTCCAGAACTCAACATGCGGGAGACATTTGCTTTATGCTGGCAGTGAACAGGACAGTAAGGTGAGATTTGCATTATTTCACTCATCTGTACCTTGTGTCTGTCTAATTTAGCCAAAAGCTCCAGGTCTGTCCTGTCCGACACTCCACCATGAAGAATCAGGACTTTCTCATCCACCAGCGTGGCCAGGGGAAGCCAGCAGAATACGTCCTGAAGCGTTCTTAATATTTTCTTCCCATGTATCTGAAAACATGATAGTAATAAGATAGTAGCTTTCCAAACTCACTCAGTTTCTCTAAACTAAGAGAAACTTCTTCTAAAAGTGGCATAGTAGCCAGACATGGTGATCTGTAATCTGAGCACTCAGGAGGCTGAGGCAGGAGGATTACTGTAAGTTTGAGGCCAGCCTGGGCTACACAGCTAGGCCCCATCTCAGTCCACTCCCCACAAAAAGAACCATAATAAAAGCAGCCTACTTTATATTTATGCATCACTTCCTTGGTGAAGCCATACCTAGGCAGAGAAGCAAAAGTGGACATTAAAATAAACAGTATAAAATGCATATTTTATACATATGTACTTAAACTATTTAGAAAGAAACTGAGGCATAATTACCAAAATATTTACAAGTATGACATTATCTCTGGGTAGAGAAATTATGAGATATTATAATTATCTTCCTTTTGTTAAAGGAAGGGGAATCCTTATCTGCATGCTAAGGCATGTTATGTGAAAAAATGTCTTACTATAGAGCAGAATAATTTGTAAAATTTTTAAAATCTTTAAAAATAGTATATACTGTGTATTCTACTTTCAGAAATTAGCAAATTACTTTGGAAAGGCTTCTCTCACAAGAAACTCTCGCAAAATATTTTTTTTAAGAATGGGCACAAGCAGACATGAAGGCCCCAGCACGCCTGGGTTGTACCGTAAGTTCACCATGTGGTCCTCATGGTTCCCTCGGTTCAGGTGGAACTCTTTCGGGTAAACCAGCATAAAGGCAAACAGAACCATTAAGATCTCTACTGAATCCTGGCCTCGGTCCACGAAGTCCCCGTTGAACACGTATGCACGCTCTGGCGACGGGAGGCCGTTCTTACAACACAGGGAAAGGAGGCAGTGCAGGAGGCCGGCAGGAGAGGGAAACCAGGTTAAAGCAGTCGGCATCTGAGCACCGGCCAGGCCTAAGCCACGGCTGTGCTCCCCAGGTCTCCTGCCAGTGTGACAGGTTTTCTACTGCACCGTGTCCCCCCAGCCAGGCAGAGGCTCTGAGACCCTCATCAGAACAGACCCACACCGGGCCAGAATGTCACCATGGCGCTGGACCAGTGCTGGGTGGTGAGGCGAAGACCAATTTTAAGTTCTAGCCACATTAAAATACTCACAACAATAACAATTATCACAGATTCCTCAGGATGAAGCCAGAAAATACATGGAGAAGTGCTTTGGGAAGTTTAGCATATCTATCTAGTAATAGCACATTAAAATATTATGATATTCACATGTTTGTTCTATGGTCTGCATTTTATAGCTAAGCATAGATAGGAAAACAGCTTTTGGTTGCTTTGTTAGTAACCGAGCTTCTTTGTCTAGAAAAAGAAAAATTGCTGAAGAATGCTTCCTTCTACTTACGAAGCTACCATTTTTATATGTGTTAAACAGTATACAAAAAATGTAGTGGAATAAAATACAAGGCTTTTATGCCATATATTCACCACATAGAAACCAATATTTTAAAACGTAATAGTTTAAAGATTCTAGCACTATTTAAGCATTTGTTTACTGTACACTGTGAACTTCTAGGCTGAGCCTCACAGAAAGGAACTTGATGCGAACGCTCATACCTTATAGAATATGAATATTAAGTCGTCCAACTGGCCGTGTAAGTCTCCTAATAAAGGGAAAGAGCATAAGTTCTGATCGGTCCTTCCTCTTGTTTCTTATTTTTACTGAAAAAAGGAAAACCCTACACTAGAAAAACCGGACAAAGAATCGGAGGCTCGCTGCTTTCCCACGCATCACAAAGGGACACTCGTTAACTCGCCCTTGCTGCAGGAAGCACCACTGCTCCTGCACGGCCATCGTAGAGAGCGAGTGACCTGAAGTTTCAGCAGTGATACACGGAGCACTGCAAGCCTGGAGAAAAGGAGGGCTCTCCTCCAGTTACAGGCCAGCATTACGTGAGATTTCCAGAGAAGTTGCAAACCTAGACGTTAATGTGGCGTTCTCTCATTGCCGAGTGTCGGGACACTGATGTTTAGAGTCTGAGGTCACAGAGGACACACAGGACGTGCGTGGGCTGCGTGTGGCCCTGTGTGGCCCTGGGCTGCATGTGGGCCTCAGTCCACGTGCACAGACACCGGCAATCTGTGAAAATGCAAGGCCAGGGAACACCGTGTGTGGCTTGCTCGATGCTGATAGGCAAATTGGTGTCCGCCACGGAGGGCCTGGTGTGCCGTGTGGCTGGGTGTGAGCTCGGAGTCAGGACGGATTGCTGAGCCGCCTGAGCCTCCTCCCTCAACCCTCTGTGTACACAGTGCGGGACACAGGGTGACGGATAGTTTGAAGGAGTAGAACTCACCTGCCCGCTCGCCTCCCTCCCAGCTGTCCCTCCACACAGAGCCTCCAGCTGCCGCCCGGCTCTTACCACACACTGTGAGCTCCTCGCTGTAGCAGCTCGACACCCGCGTGATGTTCGGCAGCTGCGCCAGGTGCCTCCTGGTCTCATGCAGGAGATGCAGGACGTAGTGAGCGTGCAGCTGCTGCTGGGAGGGAGGCGGAGGACACAGGACACTGACAGCCACAACCTGCTCAGAGACCCCAGCGGGGCCCGGGAGTGGCTCCCAGGATGCTGCAGGGACCCTTACTTTCTCACCCACACCGCCCTTGTTTCTGCTTTTCATCGCCCCCGCTGTCCCCCCAGCCGACCTGAGCGCCTCTTCTCCTTCCCACCTCCTCTCCAAAGCCCCGTGTCTGGGCTTGAGGGCGGGGCACGGCTATCTCCGCCGAACAGGAAGAAGCTCGTGTGGATGGGAGAGAGCGGCCGGCCCTGCCATGCCGAGAAGAAACCCGACTCCTCTCTCCCCGAGAACCTGACCTGCAGCCCAAATCTGACCACTTCTACTACCTCTGCCTCTCCCAGCAGCATTTCAGATCCTCTGCCTGGACCATTACAGCGGAGCCCTTGCCTGTACACTCCAGTCAATTTTTTTCATGGTACTGGGGATTGAGTCCAAGCCCTTCGCCCTCAGCTATATCCTTAGCTTTTTTCATTTTCTTACTTTGAGACAGGGTCGTGCTGTGTCACTAAGTTGTCTGGGCTGGGCTCAACTTGGAATCCTCCTGCCTCAGCCTCACATAGTATTGGGATCACAGGCAGGCACCGCTAAGCCTGGCTAACACTGCTCTTAACATGGTGACCAGAATGATTCTTTTAAAAGCAAGTCAGGTCACACCATCCCTGTGCTCAGTGTCCAGGGTCTCCTCATGCATTTAGAAAGATAAGTCACCCCTTCCATTCTTCCCGGCTCCCTGCTGAACAGCCAAGGGGCTCCCAGCTTCCCAGGCCGGAACTGCCCAGCAGACCGCCAGCTCTTCCCCTGAGCTCCCTGTCCTCCAACTGTTCTCTCAAACACCCGCCTGGCGTGTTCCCACCACCACGGCCCTGCGCTCAGAAAGTGCCTCGCAGCCTCTCCCACCCCAGCTCAGTTCCTGTCCCCAAGCCCGGCCTGGTCTCCTGGGCTCTGGTTCACAATCTGCCTCCCCTCCCGAGTGCCAGCCCCGGACAGGGACCTGTGCGTCCCACTCAGGCTGTGTCCCTGCGCCAGACCAGGCAGGGTACCGGCTGCTTGTGTCTGCAGGATGAATGCACAGAGAGACATCGGGGTTGAGGGGCCCCGCCAGGACCTTGGCCGAGGAAGGAAGGGCACTGTCTCTCCTGTTAACCCAGACGCCCGAGCAGGAGCTTTCTGTGTGGGCCGCTCACATGGGGCTGGGCCCCTGAGCTCACTTGTTTCAGCCTGAAAGCTTCCACCAGGGCAGTGGCATGGCTGGGAAGCAGCGGGAAGGACAGGCGCGGCCCTGTGTAGTTGGCGGGCACCTCGATGGCTTTGTAGTCACCGCAGGTCTCCAGCTCCGCATCCTGCGGACAGCTCTGCTCAGTCAGCATGCGGCTCAGGAGGTCCCCTGGCATGGGCAGAAGGGTGGCTCGCTGTGGGCAGACATGCCCTTCACGGCCCAGATGGAGGGACTGTGGTAGGGAGACAGGTCTGCCTGGCATCGGCTCACCCAGGACAGAGAGAGGATGTGAAACAGGCCGATGGGCATGGGTGGAGGAAAGGCTGGGCTTTCATCAGCGTGTGTGGGCCAGAGAAGGTAAGGAATATGAATGCCAGGGCTGTGAGCAGGGGAAAGGACAAAGCCGAGCTGGGCAGCACCTGACAAGGGCAGCAATGCCAGGCCGCTGGGCACAGCGCCTCCAGCTGCCCATGCCCTCCAGCAGCAGCTGACACACGGGGACTCCGATCCCTCTGCCTGGGTTTCCAGTTTCCCGCCGCATCTGGTGGCAGGTTTGGCGCCCCCTCGAGGCTGCCCCCTTCTGACCCTCCCCACCTCCTCCCACTCAGCATCCTCTGCACGCTGAATCAACTCCCTGCGCCACAACAGGCTCCAGGAGTGATTTTACCACCGGATTAGACCACGCTGTGATCTATCTGCCACCTCGCCCTCATCCTCGGGCTCCCCCTGGATTCACGGCCCTGTCCCTGAGCCCACACGCTCCCGGGTGCCCATGGCCTTGAGCTGGGAGGACATGGCCCGTTGCACTCACTCTCATGGCGGCTGCTGGGAGTGAAGTGACTCACGAGGTAGCTGAAGAACTCGTGCAGCTGCAGAGGAAGCAGGGGACCCGGCTTTAGAAACCAAGTGGAAAGGTGCAGGGGGTCCCAGTCACTGCCCGAGGCTGGGAGGCAGGTGGAGGCGCCGCCAGGCCACACCTGGCCCTGGTCCTGCTGCCCGGCGTACTCTATGGACTGGAAGATGCTCCAGGTGCAGCGCCGCCGCATCTCCAGCCGGGCCACATAGCGCCAGTACCACCTCTGGATCAGGGCCGCTGCCTTGAAAGCTGTGATCGCAAGAGATGCTGCCGTGAGCGCAGTGCTCTGTGCCCAGACCCCCACTCTGACCTCCTGCTGGCGCCAGGGCTCTCACTTGCTCCTGGTGGCTCAGGAGCATAGCTGGAGTCTGTGGAATGCTGCTGATCTCTGGAGACGCCAACACTGCACAAGCCCCTCCCCAGCCCAGGCCCACTGGCACCCGACTCCCGGATGCATGGAGCCCTAGATTCATTGATCTCTTTAATCAGCACAGCTGTCTTCTCGCTTAAAGATTCTCACTTTACAGATTCCCGCTGGCACATCTGATTCACCAGCATTGCTGCTCTAGCACTCTGGCGCTATTAGATAAAAGAAGGGCCGCTGAAAATGAGCACCTTGTCCCTCAGTGGTGGTTCTGCTGAGCCAGAGGCCTGAGTGGCCAACGGCAGGGAGTATGTGCCCAGGGGACGCAGGACAGCGAGGAGATTCTGTCACTCCAGAAGGGGCAGGATGGGTGAGAGTCCACTACAGCAGTGAGAACAGCACAGAACTGAAAGCTCAAGGATGATTTACCTCTGGGATTTTCCATCCCACATTTTCAGACTTGGTTGACCATGGGCTACAGAAAGCACAGGAAGTAAAACCATGGATACAGGGACCATGATATAGGGACGGGAGATTCGGTCCTGAGGACTCAGGAAGGAAGTGGAGACAGGGAAGACTGCAAGAACTCAGCAGCCTTCTTGGGGACAAGGTGGGGTGATGGGCACCAAGCTGGATGTTATGACAACACGCTGAGTCCCAGTCACCCGGGCCTTCACGTCATCATCTGAAAAGGGGCCGGACGAGGCACAGGCTGGGGCAAAACCATACACAAGCTCGAGTGAGCATGTCACATAACGCCAGGGCAGAGGAAGTCCCCCAAGTCCCGTGGGCTGGAGATGTCCCTATACAGGCATCCAGGCCTGCACCTCTCTGCCAGGACCTTGCCAGGTGGCCAGGGACAAGTTACAGTGTCCTGATTTCCCACACGAGGCTCAGGACCTGTAGTCAAGCAGTGCTGCCCAGAACTGGCAGCTGTCTGCACAGAGAACCAGGCTCCTCCCAAGATCCTGGACCTGGCCGTGCTGCCGGCGATGAATGGACTGTTGTGGGCAAGGCTGGATTAGAAAGGAAACCCCAGAGGTTAACTCAGGTCGACCTCGTGAACAGGAGACAGATTGACTTAATATATTTAGCTTGCATTAGACAGCTAACAGCATGCTTGCTGAATTCCTAACAGGAAAGCGGCTGCCAAAGTGGGAAAAGAAGCTGGGAGGGGTTTAAGCAAAGCCAAATTTTATTTCCTATGAAATAAAAAAATCCGTAGCATATTTCTCACAGGCACTCACTAAACCACAGGTGGCAGGCTGCAGCCCTGCGAGTCCTGTCCTCCTTGTCCAGAGGTGCTGACGGGAGTGTAAGGCAGGAGCTCCTGGCAGACGCAGGGATTTCTGCCCCTTGCTCTGGGCCTGGGGCACCTGAATCTCTGCAGGTGGAGCCGGGAGGGGACGTGCAGGTGCACAAGTCCCGCCCATGGTTCTTAAAGGTCAAGGCGGAAAAGCAGGGACACAAATGTTGCTGCTAACACCTTGCTCTGAGCATGTAAGGCAAGCAGTGCTGAGCGCGACACAAACATGAGCCCTCAGCCTGCTTCCCTGCTGGGGTAGGGGCAGTGGCTGTCTTTCTCCTTCCCTTCCTCTTCCCACCAGGGCCCTGTCTACAGCCCCAGCTGCCGTTAGCTGCTGTGGGTGCGGGGAGGTGCAGGTAGTTTAAGATCCTTTACCATTCGTCTCTTTCCAAAAGCACAGTGCAGAGCACTTCGGCCTTCTCACCTGGGCTCTGTGTAAATTACTCCTGGGGGCAAATTACAAATCCACCCAGCTGTCAACACTGCATGTGTAAGGGAACATTGATTCTATTTTACAGACTGAAGCATTTCCCAATTCTGAAGTCAGAAGTAAAACTGTGGCTGTGCATAGTGGCACTTGCCCATAATGTCAGCTACTGGGGAGACTGAGGCAGGAGGATCACAATTTCAGGTCAGCCTGGGCAACTTCACGAGAACCTGTCTCAAAACTTTAAGAGGAGGGAGAGCTAGGGATGCAGCTCAGTGGTCCAGTGCCTGCCTGGCGTAGAGGAGGCCCTGGGTTCTGGGCCCCATATCCAGCCTCGGAAAAGTTAACCCTGATTAAGAGCTTTGAAAAGCATAATAGCTCCATTTGTGGGCTGGGAGTGTAGCGCAGTGGCAGAGTCCTTGCCTGGAGTGTGCGAGGCCCTAGGTTCGATCCCCAGTACTGCAAAAACTAAACCAAATCAAATTCTCCATATATATATAAGAGCTCTGGGAGGCCCAGCACAGGGAAGTATAACAGAACAGATAAATTAGAAAAATTATTAAAATGTGACAGGTGTTTGTGTGGTTGCCCTTTATTTCCATTATCCTTGTCAAGAACACTTAACTCTGCACACCACCGATTTGAAGAATAAAAATGCCTGTAGGGAGGAACATCTTTCTCTAGTGCAAATGCGTAGTGAACCTCGACCTCTCTAGGAGAAGCAGAGGGCCCGACAGCGCCCTCTATGGGTGGCCTCTGCAGAGGTGTGGACCCAAGCTCCCCACAGACAGTGCTGCAGGAGGCTGTGTGTGGCCAGTGGGTGAGCGATGGCCTTGCACGCTTGGGGCTGGGTCCAATCCCAGCACTGCAACAACAGAGCAACAGGAAGGTGCACCACACAGGGTCATTTCCAAACAAAACCGAAAACAGAGAGCTGAGTCCAGACACTTAAAGGGAAATCTCCAGGTGTCCAAAGTGAAGGTGGAACCCACAGCCAAAGCCTCCCACAGGCGCTGGAGTCAGGCAGCCCCAGGGCACCCGCAGAGCAAACCTCTGTACCTGGGGCTCCTGTGTGCGGCAGCAGGGAGGAGGCTACAGGCCCTGGGCACCCAAAGCGCCGTGATGGGGCTGTCGGGAAGGTACAAGCTTGTACAAGTACAAGTGAGGAATCTGTCTCCCAGCTCAGGCAGAGCAGGGAGTGAGCTGCCCGAGCCCCGGCCCCTGAGAGAAAGGAGGTAACCTGTGTCTCCTGTGGGTTAATTTCTTGTTGTTCACAAGATCAGGAAACCCTGAGCTGAAGCTCATTCAGAAATGGGTCCAAGCACCAGGCATAGTGGCACACACACCTGTAATCTCAGCACTTGGGAGGCTGAGGCAGGAGGGTGGGCAGTTTGAGGCCAACCTTGCTGTATAGAGTGAGTTCAAAGCCAGCCTTTCTCAAAACAAGGAGAGAAGGAGTTAAGGATGGAAGGAAGGAAGAGAAGGAGGGAAGAGAAAAGAAAGAGAAAAAGGAGGGGCCCACCCAAATGACAAACTGGGAAAACACACTTGCATTTATATCACAGAGCTGGCGTCCACATGAGACAGGGATGGCAGCGTGGGTGCCGTCCTGGCCTGAGGCTCTCAGCACACAGCGTGCCTCCAGCTCTTGGAGACCACGAGGGCATTCCCCTTCCACCCTATCCCCTTGGTGTCCCGACACGAACCTAAAGAACATGCCCCCACCCCATCGCTCTTCCTGACCTCTGGCAGGAGTCTGAGGAGCTTGACCTGAGGGAAACCCCACGCAGTCACTGAACATCATCCTCGAATACCACGGCAGCTTGGACTCCTTCGGGGCTTTGGCAGCTGTGCTGGTTCTGTCCAAGCCCACGGAACTTCACCAACTCTCCTCCCGATGTGAGGATTGGAAGAAGTGCAGGCAGTTACTGGTGCCAGCCCCGACTGCTCCCAGATTCCAGGGACACAAAATAGAAGCCGACCGGAGATGGCCTCTGCGGCGCCCTGCCCTCCAATCCCAAGGGCAGACTCTGGTTACTGACAGCGCCGCTGCAGGGCTCGCATGCTTGGAACCCTCCCCAGTGCACTATGACCTCGAATCTGCAACAGACAGGGCCACTCTGGGTCAGACTCACTCTGGAGATTTCTCACAGCTGCTCCCACTCTGTGGAGTGTCCTTTTGCTTTAATTAAACCTCTGCATTTCTTACTTCTTCTGTGTGTCCTGCCCTGTTCTTTGTTCAGGATACAAGAGCCTGCATAACAGGTGAGACTGAGACGCTTGACCTGTAACACAGCTATACTAACTTCTAAACACCGAGAAGAAAAAGAACAACAGTTGTGTAGGAAAAATCACAGTAAAAACAGAAATTTAAAGAGCAGAAGCAAAAGTGAAAGCACACCTCATGCTGTATGAATTGGTGGCATAACCACACAGAAATAACTTGAAAATTCAGCCGTTCGTACATCCCCGGGGGATATGGCCAGGCAAAAAGAACTACAAAGAAATCTTAGTTTTCAGTAACCATATTTTTTCTGTGGTGATTTTTATTCAGAAACTGATTTATAAATGTTGGATAAAATAAGTAGTACTATGTTATGTCATGAGAGAAAAATATGTTTAACAAAGAGATAATGTGTCAGGGTTGTTAAGTAAAAATATTACCAGCCTAAGTTGGTTGTAATGTTGGTTTCTGTTAAACAATGCATATCTTATAGATCTTTTTTACTGAAAAGGTCTAGAAAGTAGGACCCCTGGGGTAGCATGGCCTCAGTCTCCTACTCAGCCTGTGGGACCCACTCCACTCTCTTTCTCTTTGTCCTTGTTGTTTTCTTTCTCTTTCTCTTTCTTCACTTCCTCTTTCTCTTCCTTCCTTGCTTTCTCTCTTTCTCTTTCTTCTTCTCTTTCTCTCTCCTTTCTCTCTCTTTCTGCCTTTTTTTTCTCCCTTTCTTTCTCTTTCTCTTTCTTCACTTCCTCTTTCTCTTCCTTCCTTGCTTTCTCTCTTTCTCTTTCTTCTTCTCTTTCTCTCTCCTTTCTCTCTCTTTCTGCCTTTTTTTTCTCCCTTTCTTTCTCTTTCTCTCCATCTCTTTCATGTTCTCTCCCCTCTCCTTCTTTCCCTTCTCCTTCTCTTCGTCTCTCTCTCTCTCCCTCTCTCTTTCTTTCCCTAATTCTCACGTGTGGCTGAGCTTCTCCCAGGTGACCGGACAGACTCCTGACCTCTCCCAGAGCAGCAGTTCATCCCCGCATTCACCACGGTTTAAAATCCTGCACACACACTATTTTGCATGAGACTCACAAGATGCAAAGGGTGGGCAACTACTTTCTGCGCCCTTAAGGTGAGAATTAGAGCCAGGTGCACACCTGTATCCCAGCACCTGGAAGGCTGAAGCAGAAGGATCACTGTGTGTTCAACAGCAGCCTAGGTTACATAGCAAATTCAAAACACCAAAAAAAATAAAATGGGGATTAGCCAAATTCCAGTACGGGCTGCTGGGCAGATGAATGAGATGCAGTGTATAGAGCACCGGGTGCAGGTGCCAGTATGCACGGCACGGGAGGGGAGAGCACTGTCTCAGCTTACACTGTGCCTTCACAGTGGTCCTTGAACACAGTGCACCAGGGCAAGAGCCCAGGCTCTGCCGCAGATGCCCCCACTTCCATGGGCCATGACCACGCCCCCGCTCCAGGTCTGCCCTGTCAGCCCTCGTGCCTGTGGCTTCTTCTCCCATCGCCTTTCAAAAGGTCAAACTCTACTTCACGTTTACCTCCTTTAATGCTCGTGTGTTTGCCTCGACTCTCAGAACAGCCCTGCAGAGGCTGTGAAGTACCCGACCATGGCCGCCTCCTCCATCCCATCCCTTGGAAACTAACAGACAGCTCACCCTCCAAACACCCCCAGATCTGCGTGCCAAAGGGAACCAGCGCTCATTTGGACTGCTCACCACGAGCCAGGGCTAGGCCATTTTGAGCACCTCGCAGTCACTTACTAACCAACACTCACGCCGTGCCGAGGGAGGCTTTATTGTATTACATCTGTGATTCCAAAGTGAGGCATCTCAGAGCTGGCAGAAGGTAGAGGCAGGACTGGAGCCCGGCCCCCCAGCTCTGGGCCCTCAGCCCCATCCAACCCTGTCCAGGGCTTTGCAGTTACTCATTTGTCTCCCTTTTCATGGTCCCCATCAGTCCTCATCCTGTGCTGCAGTTTGGTTTTTACCCTGGGCTTCGGATTGGTTCTGTGAATTCCCAGGGACATTCCCGGCACTAAATCTAAAGCGTCTTTTCCTGTCATTTGTTTGCGTTTCCTCTGTGTTGAGGTTGATCAGCCTTTGAAGCCCTCTTCTTTGGCTTTTGAGCCCCACATGCCCCCGTTTCCCTCCTCTGTTCCTGGCCACCTGTCCTCAGCCTCTTCTGCCAGTTCAGCCCCCTGTGATGTCTCAGTGCTGGGGTCCCTCACGACTCTGTCCTGTTGTAACAGAAAATGCCCCCCTCCCCCAGCCGGTATACTTCAGTTTCTTAGTCACCCAGGTAATAGTGCCTGTTCCAATTGTGGTTGCTCCTGTCTCTTAAAAACAGCTGGTGGGCTGGCGATCTAGCTCAGCAGGACAAGCACCTGCCTAGCAAGCACAAGGTCCCGAGTTCAATTCCCAATTCCAGAAAAAAAAAAAAAAAGCTGGTCACTGTGATGCACAACTGGTCACTATGATGCACATTGTATAAAACAATTCCCAACTGACAAGCCATTCTGCTTCTGTACTTCCTGCTTGCTTATCCCATATAAGCCCTAGACCACCAGAGATCAGGGCCTGAGATTCTGGGAATGATCCCAATCAGTGCCGATGATATAAAATAAATCTGCCTCTAAATCCTGGGTGTCATTTCAGTGTTTCTGCTTGCCATTGCATCAGGACCCCTCCAGTTGCCTCTGTGACCCCACAGCACCAACACCATCTGACCCTGATGCGCTCAAAAGGTTCACATCTCCAGTCCACACTGTCCCTGAGCCAGATCCGAAAGTGTCCCACAGACGCGCCTTGTCCCCTGGGCACCACACACCTGGGGTGCAAACTTAGCATCTCCCCCTGGTACAGTCACCTCTCCTCTAGCACTGTCAGTCATCAGCCACTCGGCCACTACTTTGAACAGGGGACCTGGAAGCTGTGCCTGACTCACCTTCTCCCTCCCCTGGAAGTGGGTGAATCCTGCCCACCCCATTGCATGGCTATTGTAGGGCTCCCCTCTGCTCACCCTGCTCCGGCCCTGACTGCACCAGGCAAAACCGTCTCCTGTTCAGATGGCTTCAGTGGCTCCTCACTGTCCTTGCCAACCTCCGCAGTGTCATCTCTTGCCACCTCTGCCTTTTCCACCCCAGGCCGCTCAGTGCCCTCAATGCCCCACAGCTCTCCGTGCCTCCTGACCTTTGCTCATGCTGCACCTGCTCCCTGGAAGCCTCCTCACTCCCTCTGCCCAACCGTATTTCACTGTCTGGCATAGTGTGGGATGAACCCAGAGAGTGACAGGAACTGACTGCCTGCAGGGTACAGTTTGGCTGAGTCGAGGGGTCTAGGGAGAAGCAGCTGGTTTCTAAGAGCAGCGTTGAAAGGAACCACTGCCACAGCACCGACCTGGGGTCCCCAGGGCTGGTTCTGGAGTGAGAAGCACGAACCTTTCTCTGCGTTCTGAAATGTGAAGTGAGGCTGGGTGGAGGTCCCGCTTCCCATAGCTCCGGTGCAGGTTCCCGCAGGGCGCAGAGAGCAGGAGGAGGACCAGCGCGCGGTGCACTGCCGCAGGGACAGGTGGCTCTGTCCTAGGGAAACTGAGGTAGAGATGAGTTCAGGTGGACCAAATCGTCTACAAATCACGGGACCCCACACTTCGCCAGCCCAGCACGCGGCTTTTCTCCTGAAAACATCCTCCGTGTGTCACCCACTCACACTGCTGTTCCCCGCTTCTCGGCTTCCTGCTGTCACCTAGAAGAACCCTCAGGCAGTTCCCCTTACGTGTCCAAGGCAATTCATCACTGTCCTCTAACTTGTTAATCCCTGGGGCTGCTTGCCAACCTCCCTTCTCTCTCCTCCAGACTGCCCAGGGAGCAGGCTCCCCTCTTCTCCTTGGGGGTCCTAAACCCATCTTTTCACCTCACTACAGACCCAAACCTTCCAAGCTGCCATTAACAGTGCCTTCCTTGCTCAGTCCCCACACTGCCAGAAAAGCAAAACCATCTGTCTCCACAGTGCAGTTCTGCGCCTTGGGTTTCCACATGCTAGACTCTCCTGCGTCTGCTCCTGTCAGTCTCTCCTTGGGCTCACTGTCCTCTGTCCATGCCCTCCCCTGTGCTCCTGCACCTCCTTCTCCTGACCCTGTCCCTGGACACTGTGGTGTCATTGAGCATCTTATCTCTCTGCCACTAGACCGAGTTCCAGCAGACCAAGACTGCATGTGAGCACATTTACTCTCCACCCCAGGGCTCACGCAGCACCTGACACATAGCAGGGAGTCAATAAAAATTAAACTCTTTGCCATATTTATTTTTATACGACAAGCATGGCTGTAGCTCTTCTCCAGGAAAAAAAAATTATAATTCAGAGTGAATTACAATTCTTTATTTTTTCCTTCCCTGGTTTCTGCCCCTTCCTCCCTCTTCCTCTATTTTTAAAGGTTATAGTATTGGGATTGTCAAAGTATTGAATTTTTGTTTTGTTCCATTTTGTTTTAATCAAAGTATTGTTATCTTTTCCTTTGCAAGCCAAAATTAAAGGTTTGACCTGCTTATGTTTGTTGCTTTATTTGAACAACAAATGGAAGATAAAAAAGAATGCTATCTCTTTTTGTGTGTGTGCAGAATTGTTCCCAGTTCCATGAAAGATCATGAAACCAGAATCTGAGCATGAATGAGTACAGTGGGAGGGCATCCTACCCAGAGAGCT